TACTGTAGCGTTTCTGCACACAGTTTCTGTTGCCAAGGTCTGCGCAGTCAGAAATTGTTTGCTGGGTAGTTTCTAATTGGCGCACATTGTTACAAACTAATGTTTTATATAATATTGTGTAATATGAAATTTGTACTTTCTTAATATACAAATGATGTTGATTAACAAATAAAACGAAGCAGCTAGAATGTATACACGTGTCGTTGCAAAGTTCGGAGCGTCATTTAATAACACGGTTGCGTCAGATCGACTAAACCGTGTCATCGTGACTTACAGTCATTCTTTTTCGCAGACTTACTAGTTGTTCGTTGGAGTTTGGACATCTCTCTATAAGAATGTGTGATGCGAACGTGAGCAGGGCCACGTCACCGACGTGGTGCTTCTCAACGCGCAGAAGCGGTATCACAGACGTACGCGTATTGCGCGAAACCCAAACTTGTGAAAGTAAAAATAAAGAAGAAACTCTTTCTATCACACATGCCATTTCTATAATTAGTAATAAAACTCAGTAAAACATTAAAAAAAAACCGTTTTGCAATCAAAGAAAAAAAAATCCATAAATTCGAAAGAGTCATGCGACATGAGGTAATTAAATTTTCAAAGAATTTTTATGTCAAAATTAGGTAGTTTTATTTTATAATAACATTTCTTTTAATATTCTATGAATAGATATTTTTTCCGTGATTACTAAGGAAATTTTAATTTAAAATTAAAGACAGCAAACAGCAATGTAATGTAGAAAAAAGAAAAGAACCTCTGATTTCGACGACACTGTTTCCGGTTCTCCCCACTCGATAATGCTCTTTGATACACACGAGTTGTCATACAGATATAACGTCAGTCACAGTCGGTGCCTTGTATAAAGTAGTGAATTGCATCTAACTTTAGCTATCAACAAGTTTTCTTTAACAAGTCATCTAAACACACGCGTGTGAGTATTTTGTAAAATAAGTTAAAATATAAATTAAATCTAGTGCTCTCTACAGATTGAAATAACTTGAAATATAATCATTAACTTATTCGATACTCAATGAAACTTCATAACCAACAATTTGATAAAAAACAATTCTTTTGCAACGTGAGAAACATTAATAGTATTATTTTTTATCTTATATCATTTCTTGTGTATGTTACGACATAATTGTCATTACTAACAAACTTATAGATTTCTACGTTATAATTTCTCTTGATAAATAGCAGCCACGTAACTATATATTAACGCAATTTTTGTCTCGTTTTAATAAAAATTATATGCCAACTTGTAATTACATTATCGTGTGTATTGCACAATAATTTATACATGTAACGTCACTTCAATTTCTGTAATGAGTTCGAAATGGTGAAGTAACAGGTACACGTTGCACAAGGGATGCATAACTAGGGTGAATATTTTATTAATAATCTTTTTTCGACAAGGCGAAGTTTGCGATTATAGATTGTCCCCGATTGTAAAATTAGCATTCAGGTTAAGTCGATACAATGCTGAAAAAGCTCTATATTTGAATATTAATTTAGATTACTCATAGGTAAATGTGTAAAATAAATATGTCGTGCAAAATGAAATGTTTTCAAATAACCATATTGACAACATACATTCGAAAACTTATTACACAATTATAACAAGATCAAAGAGATATTTTGAACAAGATGTAATTTTTTTCGACGTAAAGAATCTCATTTAAAACATACGCGAGTACAACAAAAGGTTTTAAAACACTGTGTGCATTCTAGAGAATGCATCTTCAGATTAGTGTCGCAGTCATAACGCGGAAGCAATTTACTCTTGTTCTTTTTAATGTGTTCTAGCGGATGAATCATGTACTACACGCATAATCTCATGATCAGTTGAGTACAGTAACTGTTGTAAAAAAAAAGAACAAAATTCGTTTGCACACGATTTTTTTCGAAACACGACCTCGCACGTGCATGTTACGTGTGTGACACGAAATTAGACATCCAATATATTTGTTGCAACAATTGTGTGCACCAATTCTGCTTTTGTTTTAATTTTAATATTTGCCGATCGCACATTTAGCTGCGGTAGAGATATATACGTATAAATGAAGTAAATTTTTAACCAATATGAGTTACATATCGGCAAGGATATCCAAGTATCGAGTCTGGCGCGATATTAGATAACAAGTTTTGAATCATCATCTGCCAAAGGTACAAAGATCTGTGATATATGTTGAACTTGCTCGATGTATTTATAAATTGTGAAAAATGCACTCCGGCAACACGTGTCGAGCATAAAGTCGCTTATGATAAACTTTGTCAAATTTCTGCACCTTTTATCTTTCGGATATCAATATCGTTTTATGTGTTACACATATTTGTATTTACAGATTTTTCTATGAAATGATATGTATATGTTTTTCATAAAAATATCTAAGTGTAAAATATACATGTCACTTTCGAGACACGTGTAATTCGAGTGTTATTTTCGACGTGCCATTTTGTTTATTGCAGAGAGAATGGAAGCAAACAAATCCGCGCCGAGCTCGGCAAATTCGCCTCATCTCGAGGTGATAGATCGAGTGAAAAACATTCCGGTGATCCATTCGGCGATTGAAAAGACGGGCTCCACGTATTCCTACGTCAAAGATTCCCACCATTTGGTAAACTGGGCGTTGAACTATGCCGAAGCGGGTCTGAACACTGCGACCGCTAAGGCGGCAACGCTCGCAGCTCCTCTGACAAAGAAATTCGAAGGGCAGATCAGCGCCGTCGACCAGAAGCTGTGCCAAGGGCTGGATATTGTCGAACAAAAAGTCCCGATTGTGAAGGAACCGCCTCAGCAGGTAACGCGAAAGGAAACTTGAAACCTGTATTCTCTGAGATCGGAATATCGTTCTCTCTATAGTTTTTTTTTTTTTTTAATAAAATACATCTCTTCACACCGAGTGAAGAAAATAAATTTTTATATGCCTGGAGTTGGATTTTATTATATTTTTAAATTCTTTCTCGAAAGATTAATATTTTTTTCGCTATGTTAATTCAATATTATATTTAACTACGGATTTTTTAATAAACATGGTTTGTGTATTTGCGCAGATATATGACGCTGTTAAAGCGGTTATGCAAAGCTCTCTGCAGCCGACCATAGAAAAACTTAACGCGGCAAAAGAATCGGCCACGCAACAGGCGTCTACGTTGAAGGAAATCAGCATAGCAAAGGCGAACGAGCTTTTAGACGCGAAGAACACGTCTGAGTCTTCGTGCGCGAGATTCATACCTTCGGGCGAAAAGACCGTACAGGTTGTCGACAACACCAGCGAGCTTGTCAATCGTTTGCTAGATCGATACTTCCCGCCGGTAGAAGGCAAAGAAGAAAGTACACCTGGTATGTATTTCTTTGGAATTTAATGTTTGCACTGTGTAATTTATTTGTACAACACATATTTTGCTGATGATGTGTAAGTTGCAGAACCAGTCTCGGCAGAGGAGAACAAAGTGCTTCACATACTGCAAACACTTGGTCAGATGTCGTCGAAGACCACAAATCGCGTCTACCATTCGATTGCTGCTCAGCTAAAGACAGTGCGCAAAGAAGACGTGGCAAATTATATATCCAATGTAGTCAATATTCTTCACTTTACGCAGTTTTTGCATCTTGGACATGGACAGGAGCATCAGCAAGCGAGCAGTTCTCCGACGGAAGACAAGAAGAAAAAATAAAATCAAAGTTCGAGAACACCATATAATCGATGTACAAATTTAATTAATTTGTCACACACGTACTGTAGAATTTTTTAAATATTTACAAAAACGTAAAATAGAATGTCGTAGTTTTTATTTATTCATGCAAAATTTAAAAAAATATATTGTTCTAATTTATCGAAAACTCGTAAAAATAGATAAAATAGATACTTGAACTATGTGACAAATAATTTAACTTTTTCAAGTTAGTTTTCATATATTTCTATATGTTTACGTATTTTAGTCGCGTATAAATTTGCGAACGATGATGTAAAAAAATATATAATGTATTAGTTTTGCAGGTGTTTCAAAAAACAATACACAAAAACAATATGATGTTAAAAATCTGAACTGGATAACTGATGCATAAAACGAGCATATTATTTTAAATGAAGAATAAATAAAAAAGACAATAATGTACGTATCAGAACTATCACTTGGAAAAATTTCCACACATAATAATAGTGTTTAACTAATAAAATGTTGAATAATACTTTTAAAAAAGAAAAGATATTCAATTTTTCTTTTTATGTAAAAATCAAATTCATTAGATTTAAATTATGATTGTATTCGGTTGCTTCTCTAAAGCTTATTCTAATCAATCAACGCTGGTTTAGCCATTAGGTTACCGACGAACGATTCGTGGCGCGATATATCAAAGTTTCGTCGAGAAACTTCAAAACAGTAGCGGCGAGATCTTGCGGTGAACGGATGTATCTCCGCACGAGATATCGGGTGATGAAAAATGACAAGAAACAACACACAAGCCTCTTGAATGTGAACAAATAATATTGTTTTGGTTAGCTATTTCTGATCGGAACAAATAAATTCGCGAAATGACTCAGAGATCAAGGTACAGCGTCCGCGGCGCTTGAGGGTGGGAAAACGGGAGGAAACCACAAAGCTCGTATAAGAGGCGAACAAAGGGTAGTTTGCTTGCGACGACCAAAGCGTCAGGTAAGTGTCAACCTCGTTCCTTTGTTACATTACACACCACCTGTCAATTCGCGTCCGTGACATTGATCTTGAGGGGGGTCACCGTGTGTCTATAATTGGCTTCGCACGTTTGCCATCGTGACTTTGCCATCGATCGAGAGCGCAACAGCAAGACAAGTAAGTACACGAGCGTTCCTCACTGCTCCGAAGCGCCTGGTCGCTTTGTGCTCCGTTCGTGCTGTGATATTCACCTTCACTCGATGTGTTTGTCCTTCTCTCTTCCTGTGGTCAGACGCTGTGTGTCTCATTTGAATTGCGCGTTATATATAAGGTATGAAAAGTGAATAATCTGAGTTATGCGACGTTTATTGCTGAGTTGTGATACTTAGTAATGCTGCAGTGATAATTATGATGCAATATTAATTGTGGAGAATATGTTTTTGGTTGCAACACCGTTGAGAGTCAGGCTCGTACGCTGAAAAAAAATCTAATTTGTTTGTAAACAATTTTCTCGAATTGCTCAATTAGTAGACAAACAAATTTAATTTTTATCGAAATTAATTAAATGTCAAAGCAGTCGAAGGAAAGAATAAGTTGTACAAAGAATGAGAAAATATTACCTATATTTTTTAACGTTTATAAGACTGAAAATAAAAAAATTATTTTTTTACATGACATTGTGTTGCTATAAAAACTGCTAAATTATGTACTTCAATTTCAATTCCTCTTTTTATTACAGATTTTGCTAAATACTCGAGAAAAAAACGAAGATTGATTTGCTGTATCCATGAAAAAGGAATCTTGGCTTGATCGCAGCAATGGAAACAGAACTCCCAGATCAATTCTATCGCATTCAAGCTGTCGATCGTGCGCGCAAAATACCCAGTGTGAATTACTTGTGGGATAAATCCACAGAGGTGTACGAGCGTGTGAAGGGCACAAATACGTTCATAAACTGGGCGTTTCACACCGTCGAGAACGTGGTGACCACGATGATAGAAAAGACCTTGCCAGTCACCAGGTTTATGGAGAAACCAATTTACACGTTAGATAAAACACTCTGCCAGGGCATTGATTTCGTTGAAGTGAAGCTGCCTATAATTAAAGAAGAACCCAAGCAGGTAATACATTTTTTTTATTAAGAATATATGTACTGTCAAATTTTGGTAGCTCCTCCTCCATATTGATGCGTATTTTTCTCTGACAGATTTTAAATCGCACCAAATCCATGGTATCCGAACGTCTTCGCCCTGCAGTGAAAACTTTTACCGATTTGAAGCAGGAAACGAAGCATAAAGTGAGGTTTATGACTCTGTGTACATATTACAAGATTTATTACTTAAGAATCTACAGTTGGCAGCAAGCGGATAAAGTCATGTCAACTGAGACGGGTATCAGTATCTTAAAGACTGTTGATAACACCACTGATCTTGCTGAGATCATGTTAAACAAGTACTTACCGCCGTCAGAAGAAGAGACTCACGACGAAACAGGTAATAATAAAGACAATAAAATATAAAAGCCATTGTGAAAACAGATTTCTTTATAAAATTTGAGAATTAAATTCTTGATCAAAATTGCGATTTAGAAGTCCTTGTAAATCATGTAATTATTGTTTCTCGAGCGCAAATTATTTCAACATGATGTTACACATAGTGTGATACAATTGTGAAACTGAATTATAGCCGTTAATTAATAGCAGGCGAATACATGTTTCATTTCTTGCAATAATTTTAATCATTTTGTATTTGTAGAGAAATTATGTAGCGAGCACACGAAACTGCATCACACAATGGAAAGACTGAGTGACTTCAGTACCCGGGCATCGCGACGCATTTACAACGCGGTGATGGAGAAGTTGCAACATATGTATAAAATCGAAATACTTATTCTCGTGTTACACGCGATCGTGTTCATCCAAGTGTTTAAGTTCGTGGAGACCATCGTGAGTTTTGCTTTCAAATTCTTCACCGACTGCATCTTTTCGTATTATAGAGACATGTTCTAGTCCGTGATTAATCTATTTTTCTCACTTTTATAAAAGTTACGCGTCCGAGACGCATATATTTTACTTGCAAACTGCGAATTTTAATTAAATGCGCGATAGCGCCGTGAAAACGCGCGTGGTCTCATTTGCGGAATAATTTCACGGTGTAAGAATAAATTTTAAAAAACTCAGCCATGTGATACACGGCGCCGTTTTTCATAATATTTTGTATTTACATATATTTCTCGAGTTTTTAAAAATTTAAATAATCCCACGCGTTTGGGTCAAGAAAAGTCAAATTATTTTTAATAACAAAAACAATCAAATTATTTTTTTAGTGTGGTCATTTTTAACTGATATTTAACTTGAAGATTAAGATGTCAAAAGAAATTGTGATTGTTATATCGCGAAACATCCTGAATATATTCGTTTTCACGATGGAGAAAGATATCGCATTTTTAAAGTTACAAGCTTAAAACTAAAAAAAATACTATGTGTATGAACATTTATATAATTATGTGTTATACGTGTTATGTATACTCAAATTTTAAATCTAGTTATAACATTGTTGACTATCGTTAGATATTAAGGACAAATCGTCAAAAGTTTGAAATTATCGGTATGTTCTTATTTTGAGAGAATATAGCATTGATATTTTTGTTTTTTTATAGATTTACATACACACACACACACACACGAAAGGAAAAGTTTTGCTATTATGTGGTCAGCAAGAAAAATTGTTGAGTCTACGAAATTTTTTGTTTCATTAACAAAATGTTTTGTTAATGAAAATGTTTTTCATTAACAAAATGTTTTGACAGAACGAAAATTTTAGTAAACTTAGCAAATGTTTTTTTTGCTAGTCATATAATAACTAGTTTTTTTTGCTATTCCAGCAAATTTGTTTCCGTTTACTTTTCCGTATCACATGCTTTTCATACCCTGTTATTGTATTATTACAGGCATACGTACTTGATAAAGCATGATTGCCCATGACACAAGCTCTTAATAATGATAATATTTTTAACAAGAAATATATAAGGCCTTACGAGCCATTCGCAGGATGTTTGAGCGGAAACTGTACGTGTATATATATACATACACATGTAACAAATTCAACTTGTAAATTTTTTACAAGTGAGTGTAAAATTTAGGGGAATAAACCTTTAGGAGGGTAACCGGGGTCTGTCATATGTGAGATGCAAATCCAGCATCCCGTATGAATTTAAGAATTGAGTTTTCAACTCAAAAAAACACTCACTTGTAAAAAATTTACAAGTTGAATTTGTTACATGTGTATGTATATATATACACGTACAGTTTCCACTCAAACATCTTGCGAATGGCTCGTAAGGCCTTATATATTTCTTGTTATTAATTTCAACGCCTTAAGTCATAATTGTTTAATAATATTTTTATTTTTTCGTTCATGTTACTTTTAAGTTTTTGTATATGTAAAACTTCGTTGTGTTGTACTTGAATTATGTTTACTACAATGTGATTATTTATCAAAATATGTGTTCTGAAATCTTGAGAAAAATTGATCGATATCATTAATATAGATGTTTCTTAACGTGTCCAGTGCTAATTGCGAAAAGTAGACAAAAACACACTTTGAAAATGTCACACTTTAACGACTGTGATGGACAAGTATATAAGCTTAATTTATTTCCAATTTACGTTTTGTGATTTGATTTTATATTTATTCACTGTTGTCTGAAGTAAGAAACGCGCAAGTGCGTATTAATATCAAACATTGTAATCCATAAAAACAAACACATTTTGCAGTTCTTTTTAGTAACAATAAGATTGTAACAAACGTGTGTACACGTACCGAGCAAAAGTTACATTTTAAACTTAGAAATTAAATTACGGAAGTTCGTGAGGTTCTACGGTGAGAAACAATATATGTACTACATATAACTACGATAGATGCGGCACGATCTTCCTTTTATTTCACGTCTGTCTTCTTTCCAATTGAATTGTCTCGTGAGATATTTGAGCATACAAATGCACGATGCAAACCGTTTTTATTCGAATGATTTGAAAACGTACTGCTATGTGACGTACAACAACGTCAATAACAGAGCAAAGAGCGAATTCTGTTTAAATTAAACGGATGACGAACACGAAACAATCGCACGTAAATCGTATTTCAAATCATATTATTCATTCGATAAGCTCGTCGCGAAACTTCACAAACTTCCGCGCTCTATATTCGCGACACAAGCGCGGACATATTGCATATATATATAATCGAGCGTACATTAACATCCGAAAATGTTTTTCTATTTTTCTGTGTACTTACTAATTGCATTGTTACTTATTACGCGCACTGTGTATAAAAGAATGTACATTATAAAACACAATAATAAAAACTGCCGAGATGTATTTATCTTACACGGTCGTGTTTTTCCAGGCATTTAATCCCCGTTTTTTCGCGCGCAAGTTGCCGCGCAAGTCAATCTCGAGATCATTAAGGCGAAATAGACGTAAATAGTCTGCGTAAAAATCCGACCGGTCGCGTTTTTTTTCTTCAAAAGAAAATCTAAACTAGCCATTTTTCAGAGAATCGGGATTCAAGCTTGGAGAAATAAGAGGTTGCCGAGCGCGCTGAAGAAACTCGTGTGTATTTTTCTGATGTCAGTGTCGGAGAGCATTTATCACGTCCGCTCCCGCGACTCGCGGAAAGCGGGAATGAAACGGGGCTGTGGTGAAATCGCATACACGCGGAATATATCCAACGCGAATTCATGCATGGCGAGAAAGACACGCGCCCGCGATATGCCACGCAAAATCGAACGTGTTCGTATTATTTTCTCGCGGTCGTTTCGCACTTAATCTAGTTTTGCGCAGCCTGGAAGAATACGATTAAGTTCCGGAGTGGCGCAAGAAGCTACGTTCTTTATTCTTCATAAAACGGAAATTGATTCCGTATCTTAATAAAAAGATAATGTCTCATGTTCGCTTATTTGACAAGCTATTTATTTCGAAGCGAAATGTTTTCACGACATAGCGCGCCCTCTTCTATGTCGATATTATTACCTTATTAAAAATACAGACATTTTCTACTCCGGCTCACAGAAATACAACATTTCTCTCTGACAGCCGACATTCATACGATATTTGCAGGTATTCACGCCACATGCAGCCGGTGTGCTTCGTTACTTACTCATTAAGGTTTATCCGTTATTACGTCGTGTAAAACGCAGTGCTAGCTTATGCGTTCGCGATTTACGCGCACATAACGGACGATAGTAGTATGTGGGCACTTATGGCGCGTCAAAACAAACCCACTCCACCTGGCCCCCCTACCACTTTGGCGCCATTGCCCCACCAGGGTGGTTTCCCCCTCCCTTGGTGGTGATTGGCCACGCCCACTGGAAGGGATGGAAAAGTGACATGATTTATGACCCCATAAATTTTTTATAAATTTTTATAATTTTCTAAAAATGTGTATTTAAAATTTTTTTTGTTGAAGAATTTGTGTGGGAGAAAAGTTCGAGAATGTTCTCGAGTAAGAATTCTTTATTAAAAGAGTATATATTTTTAGTGGGGTTGTGCGTTTAGGTCAGCAGCGATAGTGGACAGCAGCAGTGGTGATAGCAGGAAAAAGGATGGCGGCCGAGGTGTGATTCTTTTAGTGAAGATCGGTGTTCCAAAAATTAGGTTTTTATTCCGAGGTATTTACAGATTATTTACAAGGTATACTTGGCTCTGATAAGAGCCGGTTTGTATAATTGATTGTGCCGGATTTCTCCTTCGGGTTCTGCGATGCCGTGATCGATCTCGTCTGCTGCGGGAGTGAGCTCTCCTGGTAGTGGGCGATCGATGTCTGGAACGGCTTCTCTCTCTATGCTGCCTCTTCTTCTCCGGTTTGCACTGCGGGATGATCTCGCCGGTGATCTCGGTCTGTACTGCTGTAGAGATAGTTTTCCGCGGTGATCGTTCCCATTCACTGTCGCTCGACTGCGTGGACTGCTCTTTATATACCAGTCGTTCTCCCTGCACCCCTCTATGTACGCGAGGTGGGGGAAGTGTCTGCGTCGACTTGTGAATCCTTTGGCGTGGAGGAGAAAGTATCGGTGATATGAGCGGTGGAAGAACCAGGCTGTCTCTAGGCGACGTGTATCTCCGTATCCTGATGTTCCACTGTGCCAGCAGGGCTCTAGGAGGCCGCGTCCGCCGAGGCAAGGGTATGTTGTGAGGTCGGAGTATCCACGGCCGGAACGATTCTTCTATTGGTCCAGAGGATTCCGCTTTCTGATTAACTGCCTCTGGTTTTGCCACTCCAAATGGTTCCGAGATGAAGACCGCTCCGAGGTATACCCCTGGGGATCGTGGAGGCGTTGGTCTGGTTATCTGGACCGCTGGAGCGTTGCTGGGTGCTTCGGGATTAATGCTGCTGGTCTTCTGCTTCGGTGCCGCTCACTGTTCGGCGATAGATATGCGCCGAGCGGGTCCATATATGTAGACGCCGCGGCAATAGGTACTTCCGCGCGACACTCGCGGTCATGCGCCACGTAGCGGCGGCGCGCGAACTGCGCGTCCTGCCGTACGTAACTTTATTTTTTGGTGGTGGTCTTTTTGACCGCCACATATTTATTTAAAATTATTTAAAAATCCGTTTCGAAGCGTGGCTGGTACTGGCAATGGCGGCGCTCCGATGTTGTTGCCTCGTGCGTTCAAACGTGTATGAGAGCAAGTTGGCGTCGGTTGAGTGAGGAATTGTAAGGGCGGGAGTGGCATCGGTCCCGAGAAGAATCAATCAGCGTCTGGGCACTTATGGCTCCCAATGAGCGTAAAGCATAGTTGAGGGCGTCTATGCGAAATCGAAATAGAAGCAGGCGTCGCAAGACTGTGACTAGAAAGTCAGGGATGTAATATTGTTACCTCGCGTGAGGTCGAGGATGCTGCGTGGTAGGGACGCCGAGGAGAATTATTATTATCTTATAACATTTATTAAGTTTTCAATAAATTCGTTTATTTCGTATTCTGCTTTTGTTACACTTCCACTCACTCGCGATATCTTAAGTCCTTACGAGCGATGCTCTGATGGGCAGNGATCGTTCCCATTCACTGTCGCTCGACTGCGTGGACTGCTCTTTATATACCAGTCGTTCTCCCTGCACCCCTCTATGTACGCGAGGTGGGGGAAGTGTCTGCGTCGACTTGTGAATTCTCTGGCGTGGAGGAGAAGGTATCGGTGATATGAGCGGTGGAAGAACCAGGCTGTCTCTAGGCGACGTGTATCTCCGGACCCTGATGTCCCACTGTGCCAGCAGGGCTCTAGTAGGCCGCGTCCGCCGAGGCGAGGGTATGTTGTGAGGTCGGAGTATCCACGGCCGGAGCGATTCTTCTATTGGTCCAGTGGATTCCGCTTTCTGATTGGCTGCCTCTGGTTTTGCCACTCCAAATGGTTCCGAGATGAAGACCGCTCCGAGGTGTACCCCTGGGGATCGTGGAGGCGTTGGCCTGGTTATCTGGACCGCTGGAGCGTTGCTAGGTGCTTCGGGATTAATGCTGCTGGTCTTCTGCTTCGGCGCCGCTCACTGTTCGGCGATAGATATGCGCCGAGCGGGTCCATATATGTAGACGCCGCGGCAATAGGTACTTCCGCGCGACACTCGCGGTCATGCGCCACGTAGCGGCGGCGCGCGAACTGCGCGTCCTGCCGTATGTAACTTTATTTTTTGGTGATGGTCTTTTTGACCGCCACAGA